GTGCCATAACCATCCCATTGCAAGATCTAACAGGTTTAGCACAGTTTTTCTACTTTTCTGTGTTTCCCTGGGAAGCAACTGAATACGTTGCAACCAATTTTCAAAAGCCTAGGACTGTTAAAAAAATACAAATAAAATGACACAATTTCATGCACTTAATCCTCACATAATAGTTTTTTTAAATCAAATAATCAGAAGCCTGATTTGAACCATTTCAGCTTGCAAAGTCGTGCAATGACCAGCCACAGCATGTCCCTACATGTCCTCAGTCTGACTATGGTACAAGTTGGCCCAACTGATCATTATACTGGAAATGCCACAAAGCTCCACTATATGTAGATATGTATCAGATATCCTACATATAGCTATGCAGAGGTATGTTACCAGGAAGAATAATTCGGGACTATTCTAACTTTTAGTGACCGAATAATCTAAATTTTATTAAAGACAGGAGGCAAATATTTGCTTATCTTTCTTTACTGTAACTCCCATCAGCACAGAAACAGTTAACAATCAGTGTAAAAAAGTTTAACCAATCAGCATGCATCACAGTAATATAAACTGTCATCAGGCTCCTCCCAATTCCTCTTTCTTGATGTAGCCGAACAGTCGTAGAGTCAACCATGTAAACGGAGATCTATTAGAACGATGAGTAGGTAACGGTGTAAGCATCCGATAGGATGAAACAGTGCTCAACCTGGAGGAGACTTGAAACAGAGATGACGAGCGATCTTCACACTAGGAGGAAAGAGAAACATCGTGAAAGTATGGTCTCTTGGGCAAGAGAAAATCAAATCAAATGCCATGAAACTAACGTCCAATTTAAGTGCAAGCTTTAACATATAATAACTAACTGTATGGTGTCTTGGGTAAGTGAGACCCAAATTAAAAATGCAATTAAACTAACGTTCAATTTGAATGCAAATTTTAACATAATAATTAACTGACGAGTAAAGGCCAGAAAAGAAGACAAGTCGAAAGGAGGCTAGCCACTTAGTCAGAGATGGAGGTGCTAAGAGATACTTACCTAATAGGGTGGGTAAAGGTATTCCAGGGTGGGAAAATATTCACCTCCTGTCTTTAATAAAATTTAGATTATTCGGTCACTAAAAGTTAGAATAATCCCGAATTTTATGGCAAGACAGGAGGCTTCATATTTGCTATTTTAACGCGTAGATAGCATGGACAAAGAAACGTGTGGAGAATGTCTAAAATAAAAGGTACGGAAAGTGGATTCTCTAGACCAATTGGCGGAGGACAACCTCCAGCCATGAACACAGAGGAGGCGGCCGCGCCTCTAACCGAGTGAGCCCCAAAAGTCGCATCAATGCCAGCCAGAGCTAGTAGCCATTTAATCCACCGAGCAATAGTAGGGCTCGAGACTGGTTTGTGTGGTCGCACATAAGACACAAGGAGGGGCCCAGTAGGTGGTTTAAGAGGGGTAGTGCAAGAGATATAGTGTCTTACGCAATGGGCTAGGCACAGAAGTGGTTTCTCCGTAAAGTAGGGGTAGCTCACTGTAGATGAATTGGTCTTGGTGCGTCTAGTGATGTGAAAGTGCACTCCATCCGGTGTGAAATCGAGGGCATGAAAGTCAAAGGCCTGATGTCGGAGACTCTTCGGAAGGAGACCAAGCAAAGGAGGAGAGCTAATTTGGCTGACAATTGGCGTAGGGAGAGCGCCTCGTTGTCTGGCCAAGCTTCTAAGAACGTGAGCATGAGAGCTACGTCCCAGAATTGATTATATTTGGGAGCCGGAGGTCTAGCGATGCAGATGCCCCACAAGAATCTACACACAGAAGGGTGTTTGCCTACTGAAGAACTTTCAATAGAAACGTGTGCTGTGGAAGTAGCAGATCGAAACACGTTAATAGTCCGGTAGGATTTACCCTGATCGAACAGAGACGACAGGAAATTGATAATATTAATTATAGATGTTGAAAAGGGATCAAAGTTCCTTTCCAAACACCAGCAACTCCAATGATGCCATGCGGAGATGTAAGAGCGTCCGGTTCCTGGGGCCCATGAATCCTAAAGGAGTCCCTGAGCAGTAGTCGAAAGGCCTGAGACATTCCAAGATCCCCTGAAACGGTCCAAGCCACTAGTCGTAGATGATCCTGGATTGCCAACGGGTGAAAGTTGCCTGCCGGGTCCCTGAGGAGGTTGCAGGAGGTGGGTAGAAGCAGGGAAAAATCCACTGACATTTCCAGAAGGCAAGGGTACCATGGTTGGGCCCGCCATAGGGGGGTCACCAGAGTTATCTTGACACCTTGAGTTTTGAGGTACTGTAGTGTGCACGGGATCATGGAGAATGGAGGGAACGCATATGCTCTGGACATTGGCCAGGTCTGTAAGAAGACATCGACTGCAAGGCACGCTGGGTCTGGCAACCAGCTGAAAAAAGCGTCCGTCTGATGGTTGAGGTGAGACGCAAACAGGTCCAGGTTGAATGGTCCCCACCAGACATGGAGACGATGAAATATTTGTGGATCCAGTTGTCAATTGCTGGAATCTCTCCAATGTCGGGAGAACCAGTCTGCGACGAGGTTGTCTGATCCCTGTAGATATTCTGCTCGCAGGGAGATATTCCTGTCTATGCAGAACTGATACAATTCCTTGGTCAGGTCTAAAGCATCTTTGATTTGGAACCTCCTAGATGATTCACGTAGCGAACCGCTGAGACATTGTCCATCTTCAGCACCACGGAACAATTGTAGACATCCTTGGCGAAACTTCGGATTGCGAAGGAGCCCGCAATTAGTTCGAGGCAATTGATATGAAGTGCTCATTCTGAATGGGACCAGAGCCCTCCTGTAGAGCTTTCCGAGCAAGTTGCACCCCATCCGAGCAGGCTTGCATCTGATTCCAGGATGAAATCGGGTTGGGATCCGAAGATGGCTCTCCCATTCCAAGTGTCCATATGGTGTAGCCACCAATGGAGTTCTTGCCAGACTTTGTCTGTGAGTGTGATCTGTTGATCGTAGGATGTCGACTGATGTAAATATTGCGTCTTCAGGCGTTGCAATGCTCGGTAGTGCAATGGTGCAGGGAATATTGCCTGTATTGAAGCAGAGAGCAGGCCAATGATGCGAGCTAGATCTCGCAGGCAGAGGTATGGTGATATCAGAAATCTCCGAATGTCCTTTTTTATGGACTTGATTTTAGTTGCAGGAAGTTGTAGGACTGCCTGAACAGAATCTATCTGGAATCCCAGGAATTGTACCGTCTGGGACGGAGTGAGAGATGACTTCTGGCGATTGATCACAAAGCCAAGGTTCTGCAACAAAGCGGAGGTCATGGCTGTCTGAAGGTGAAGAGTCTCTTGGTCCTGTGCCATGAGGAGAATATCATCCAGATAAACTATGGACCGGATTCCCTGGGAACACAGTACCGCCATTACTGGTTTCATTAGTTTGGTAAAGACCCAGGGTGCAGAAGATAGGCTGAAGGGAAGGCAGGTGAATTGCCATAGTTCCTGTTCCCAACAAAACTGAAGGAGGCAGCGGTGGGCTGGTGTTACCAGCACCGTGAGGTATGCATCCTTTAGATCGAAGCGGGAGAACCAATCTCCCTCACAGAGTAGGTCTCTCAATAAATGGATTCTCTCTATTTTGAAGTGACGGTATGTGATGAATCTGTTCAGATCTCTCAGATTGATAACAGGTCGTAGGTCTCCTGATTTTTTCTTGACCAGAAACATGTTTCTGTGGGCCAACAACTCTTTCAATCACACCTTTGGCGAATAGATTGTTGAGTTTGCTCCGAAGAGTCAACTCGTCGAACAATGACATCTTGATCGGGATAGGAGGAGATTTTTGTATAGGTTCGTCTGAAAAGTCCAGGTGGAACCCGGACACAGTCTGAAGGATCCAAGGATCCTGAGTGAGTTGAGACCACTGTTTGGAAAAAAGGGTTAAACGGCCTGCAATAGGAATATGAGAATAAGTAAGGTCCGTTACCTGTAGCAGTGCAACCGCGGAGGGAAGCAGATCCACGTCCTTGGATAGCTCCGCGAGAGGGGAAAAACTGCCTGTGGTGGAATCGGGTATTGCCCGAGTTCCAATGGTCTGTGGGTCGAGGCCTGTAGCCTGTGAAGGTGGCTCTGCCAGTCGCTCGGCTTCTGTAGCGACCAGGCCTCCCGGAAAAACGTTGTGTGCGAAACACCTTGCGGATGGATGATTGCGCTTTAGTTAGCGAAGTAAATACAGAGACGTGTTTACTTAGTGCTTTTATGAACTTGTCTCTGAATAACATGCCTTGAGCCTCTGTACCAAGTTCTTGAATGCCCAATTCGGCAAGCTTGGCATCGATTTTATAAAGGACGGCCTTCCCCCATTCTGTCGAGATCGCCACATTGGCATTACCTAAAAGGCATAAAGCCCTTTGTGCCCACTCTCGCACCATATGTGCGTCAAAAGTGCCACCTGATAGAGCCTCGTCTGCTATAATGAAAATTTGTATAAGCGGGCCCGCCACATCCATCAGTTTATCTTGGGTGGCTTTCCCTGACTTGGTCAGAAAGGTAACAAGGAAGGGGTCGAATTCAGGTGTAATGGCCACCTTGTCCGGGATAATGGGACGTGGGCATTCTGCCCTCAATTTGGCTCTCACCTCTTTTTCTAAAGGCCGACGTAGCCACATTCTACAGTATTTGGCAATGTGGTCCGGGGGTGTCCATTCAGCAGATCTAGGGGGCCTGATGCACCTAGGGTCAAATAAAGGGCGGCCAGAGGTGTCAAATAAGGTGTCATCTTTTAAGTTAGGATCAGATGTTAGGTCAGATTCCAAATGGAATTCCTCTTGATTTGGTATGAGGGAGGGCTCATTAGTGAAATCAGAAGGGTAAAGGTCTTGGGATGTCTTATGAGGTGGAGCATCGTTATCCGAATGTTCTGCATAGTATTCATCTAGCACCTGAAGATTATAATTAGAGGTTGAACCCTCAAGTGGGTCAAAATCATGTTGGGAGACAACCTCCCTGGGTTTATAAAGGGCCTTTACCGGCGGTAGCGCTATCGCCCTTCCAGGGGTGCTTTCGAGGAACTTCATCCCAGTCTGAACCATGAGACTCCTCAGAGTCTGACAGCTGGCTAATAGTCGCCGTAGGGGTTTTAACTGACTGCTCGCGGAAAGCCGCTAAAGCTTTGGGTGTAGAGTCGGCAATTGCATTGTATAGCCATGCCTTAAGTTAAGCAGAGACTGCTGGATCTGGTAAATCCAACATAATGTCAAAAACAGTGGGGTCAACACTAAAATATAATATATATATATATAAAAAAATTTTTATAAAGAAAATGTTTACATTTTTTTTTTAATGTGCAGACAACTATTTACAAAGAGGCGGTGGACTTTAAACATGAGTTGTAAAATACATAAAGAATTAACCTGTTAGACAAGTGGGGTTCATCCAGAGAAAGAAAAAAAGGACAATATAACGTCCAACATTAATAACAGGTATGTACCTGTGTAATCATATAGGGGGTTACCCTGTATAGAGGCAAAAAGGGAGTTACCCTTAAATAGAGGCTAGAGGGGGTCACCCTCGAAGTAATGCAAGGGTTTAAGGCACTTGTTTTTTGTTTTGGGAATCTGTAACAGAAAAATTGATATTCTGAGTTGTGGGTTTGTACACCTTTAAATAAATAAATAACGGTCTGGGGCTTTAAGAAGAAAAACATTTACTTACCGAACGGCTGGATCGCAAGCACAGATCAGGAGCTGTACGCAAACGAAACCGCCGCACAGAGACCGTCCACAAGATGGCGCCCGAGCAAAAAGCCTGGGAAAAAGCAAGAGAGATGGCCACAGCACAGAGGAAAGGGCGGGACGCGTCACCATGGAGATGCTGAGGGCGGGGCAAGTGAGCACAGTAACAGAGCGGCTGAACAGGCCGGCAAAATGCTGGGAGCTGCGGTGAAACTGTCAGTGATCTAATTAAACTGACAGAGCACAAACTAAGTAGGCTGTTACAATAGGAAGTAAATAAAGTTGTGGGCTGACTGGAATGTCAGCCCACTAAGTGTACTAAAACGGAAAACACTTCACATTTGTAATAAATATTAAATAAATAATAATAAATAAAATGATTATTGACAGCTAAAAGAGCAAGATATTAAAAAGATAATAGTCAGTTAAAAGAGCTATTAACCCCTTCCCGACCGCAGACGGAAATTTTCCGTCAACCCTGTCCTTCAGTTAAGGACCGTTGATGGCAAATTTCTGTCATTTACTAAAGTTAATCCCAGATTGCCGCGATCACGGGGTTAACAGTGTTCCGGTCTGCCTATTAGAGGCAGACCGGGAGCACTGGATCGGCTGCCCCAGCACCGGTGCTCGCTCTGACAGGCTGTCAGAGCGAGCACATGTGCTCAGTGTACTTACCTTCCGCCAGAGCTTATCCTCTTCTCCCTGTGTAAAAAAATTTTTTAATAAAATAAAGTTAAATCCCACCCCCCCTTTCCCATACTTTAATAAAATTAACCCCTTCCCGGCCAATTGATCACTGACTATAGGGGTTGTAGTTAGTGCAGTTGCTGTAGTGGGTGCAAGGGATAATAAGGCTTGTAATGAGTGTAGGGGTTGTAGTGGGTGCAGGGGGTAATAGGGGTTGTAGTGGGTGCAGGAGATATAGGCGCAGTAGTGGGTGCAGAGGGTTGTAGGGACTCTAGTTTGTGTAGGGGATAATAGGGGTTGTAGTATGTGTAGGGAGTGATAGGGGTTGTAGTTGTGTAGCGAGTCATAGGGGTTGTAGTATGTGTATGGAGTAATAGGGGTTATAGTATGTGTAGCAAATGATAGGGGTTGTAGTATGTTTAGGGAGTAATAGCGGTTGCAGTATGTGTAGCGAGTAATAGGGGTTATAGTATGTGCTGGGAGTAATAGGGGTTGTAGTATGTGTAGCGAGTAATAGGGGTTGTAGTATGTGTAGGGAGTGATAGGAATTGTAGTATGTGTAGAGGATGTAAAGTGTTGTAGTGGGTATAGGGGGTGATGCCAGTGGGTGGGGGGGGAAGGGGTGGATGAAACGGTGGGGATGAAAGGGTGGGGGATGATTGGTAGAGGTCATGAAAAAAGGACGATGAAGAGGATGGGATTGGGGAGGATGAAAGGGTGTGGGGATGATGAAGATGGGGTGTGGGATGATGGGTGGGGTGGGGGAGATGAAGGGGTGCAGGGTGGTGATGGGTGTGGGGGAAGCGTAGGGGTGATGAAGGTGGATGGGGGATGGAGAGAAGGTGTGTGGGGGATGATGAAGTGTAGGGGTTGTGGTGGGAGATGAAGGGGTGTAGGGGTGATGAAGGGGTGTGGGGATGATGAAGGGGTGTAGGGGTGTGGGGGGAGATTAAGGGGTGTAGGGTGGTGATGGGGTGTGGGGATGTTGAAGGGGTGTAGGGGTGATGAAGGGTGTGGGGGTGATGAAGGGGTGTAGGGGGAGATAAAGGGTTGATGAAAGGGTGTAGGGGGTGTGGGGGGAGATGAAGAGGTATGGGGTGATGAAGGGGTGTAGGGGGTGATTTAGTGGTAGATGAAGGGTGGAGGGGGTGGAGACATAAGAGCTGTGGGGAAAAACAAAGTTAAATAATGTGTTCCCCCCTCCCTGAGCCTTACCTTTGTCCATGGAGGGGGGAATCCTTATCCCTGGTGGTCCGGTGGCAGAATAAGATTGTTTGCACCCCTGGTGGGTGCAGCCAATCCTGAAGAGCTCCCAATCCTGAAGAGCTGCTCAGTTACAGGAAGCCTGCATGCTGTGTTCAGTTCACGGCAGAGGCTCTGCTCCTGGAGCCTCTGCCAATTTTTTTTCCAGCCCTCAGGCAGCACTTTCGGACAGGCACAGTGAGAGACAGCCTGGAGGGTCTTTGATAAGGCCCCTGGGCTGTCTCTCAGTGTGCTACAAGCGCTCTGCTACTGCCGTCCAAGGGGGGAAAGTATTTAATGACAGGGGCCCACAGAAGGTCATGCGGGCCCCTCACTTAGTGCAGGCTGTCTGGGGAGCTTGTTGAATTCCTCAGCTGAGCCATTACAATGCTGCAGGCAGGCGGGCCCCCAAGAGCCTCAGGCCCTCGGTCCTTGACCGATGTGCCCGAGTGCTCAGTCCGCCCCTGAATGTGCCCCTTCAATGTCCACATATAACTGGCAAAGGTACATACGGGGGTATTGCTGTACTCAGCCGACATATCTGAGCAACAAATTAAGTATTATACAGTCCTAGCACACATATGGTTTGCAAAATATACTGCGCAAACTCACTTTGTGTCAAAAAGGCAGAAAAAATGCTTATTACCACTACACATGGTTCAAGCTAGCGGAAAAATTATCCTACGCTAAGGTTCAAAATATGACTTTTGAAATACCCTGGGATGTGTTCTTTAAGAAATTGTATGCCTTTATGATGTAGTTGTAATATGTAGCCTGCTCAAGTGCTCCAAAGTGGGACACGGACGCATCAAAACCCTCCATGAAAATTCACACTTAAAAACCTTAACTTGTCACGTCTCTTTTACAGCAGTGTAACTTCACAAAATAGTGTCTAGGTCATACATTGGGCATATTGTTTTACTCAGAAGACTTAGCTGAGCATAATTTGGGGGGTTTGAACTTAGTGGTACATATGGAATGTACAAAATGCCCAGCAAAAATGTAATCCGTATGTAAAAAATGCCCAATTCTACTGTAAATGTTGAAACGGACAGGTCTCCTATATGGCACTGTAGCTTCACGAAATAGTGCCAAAGACATACAATGGGGGTATCGTTGTACTCAGCAGAAGTAACTGAACACAAAATAAAACTTTGTACAGGAATAGCACACACCAACTTTACAAATTACACATGAGAAGTTCATTGTTGTAAGTTTGTGTGCCAAACACCTCAAAAAACAAAACTTTACTCCAATATTTAGCAGAGATTGGTGGTGAAATGGCTACTTAGAAAGTGTCAAAACAACCTTAGGACAATAGCCTGTGATGTCTACTTTATATAAATATATACTTTTGTGTGGCAATTTTGTTTTCTTTTATGGCTATTAAGCTTACAAGACAAATATACCAAATTCTAAAATCGCTCCACATTAAAAGTTTATTTTACTCTTTGTGCTTTGTGACCTGTAACTACCAAAGAAAACTTAAAATCCCAGACACATTATATATTCTGTAAATCAGAACAACCAAATGAATTTATTTTTTAAAAATTTTTAACCTGCACTAATTAGGCATACATTATTAATGCAACAACTGTACAAAAAACTTTCTCTTTTTTTGCCTTTTTCTGTATTGTTTTAATAATAAATAAGTATATATATATATATATATATATATATATATATATATATATAAATAACAAAAGAAAGCCTTGCACTCCTACCAAACATGAAATAGAACCCGGTGCTCGATTGCACAATAAATAACAAGCCAAAGAAAAATCAGCACTCCCAGGATTTGTAAATAAGCCAAAAAATACTTTACTCCACAGGTCAACGTTTCAGCTCCTCTTGGGAGCTTTCATCAGGACAGCATTTGTATGCTTTTTGTATGCTGTCCTGATGAAAGCTCCCAAGAGGAGCTGAAACGTTGACCTGTGGAGTAAAGTATTTTTTGGCTTATTTACAAATCCTGGGAGTGCTGATTTTTCTTTGGCTTGTTATATATATATATATATATATATATATATGTTACATCAAATTAAAGCCCTTTCTGTCCTTTAAAAAACAGTATATAATATGTGTTGGTGCAATAAACGAGAGAGATACAAATTGCAGTTGAACGCATACAGCAAGAAAATGCAAAAATTGCTTAAGCGTAAGACAAGCTTCTAAAGCTGTGTCCTTAAGGGGTTAATTAGAATAGACTCACCTGGGAGGCTAAGCAGCAAAGAAAGAGGAATTGGGAGGAGCCTGATGGCAGTTTATATTACTGTGATGCATGCTGATTGGTTAAACTTTTTTACACTGATTGTTAACTGTTTCTTTGCTGCTGGGAGTTACAGTAAAGAGAGTAAAGCAAATATGAAGCCTCCTGTCTTGCCATAAAATTTCTCTAATTTGCATAGTTCAGGGACATTAAAACAATATAATCCTGCTACAATGTTATATGTGCAACAACATAGAGCTGGGGTAGGCAACCTTTTAGCAGCACTGTGCCGAAATAAGATTGTTATGGCCCATAGCGTGCCGGTCCTTGTGTTATTTATACTGCAGTTGCTTTGTATCGTTGTATTTATGCGTATATGAGCTATTATATTGTATATGTTCATGAGTAGCATGTGGTATTGTGTAAATAAACCTATGAATGTGGGCTGTGCATGGGGGCTGCTTGTAGAATTGTGTGTGTGGATGGATATGTCACATTGTATGTTTGGTAGTGTGTGTATGTGAGGGGCTGTTTGGGGTATTGCATGTGAGAGGCTGCATGTGGGGTTGTGTGCATGTATGTGGATTGTCAGTGGTGTTGAGTTTGTGCGGATTGCGTTTTGTGTTTGTGTGTGGGCTGTTTGTATTATTTGTATGAGGGGAGGGTTATTCTGCATATCTCTGTATATCTAGCAGTGTGGGTGACTTCCCTGTGGAGACCAGGCTGGTCAGGTACAGCTCAAGGACAGGAGCTGCAACAGCAGCTCTGGGGTGCTCTATTACAGTGTGGATTCCCATTCACAAGTGCTGGGAGGAAGTGATCTGAGATCACTTCCTGTACATGCTGCAATGCATAAATTGAGGATTGTCCTTCACCACCTCTTCGTATTAGCAGATATCTGAAGTTTTACTGGGACTCCTGATAGGCCAGAGCCT